AAAAATTTTTCTAAACCAAAGCATTTAATCTTCTCTGCATGCATTGTCACAGCTCAGTTGATGTGGAGCAGCTCTTATCAGCCTTCATAATCCTCATTTGTGTTCTGCTGAGTGTTTTATTGTCCTTAGTTTTGTGAAAACATGCCTCTTTAAAAGCAAATGGTGCCCATAAAGCAAGGTAAAAGTTATGGTAAACCTTTTAAGCAAAAAGGGGCACATAATATACTTAATTTAAGTGATAAAGTGAAAATTTCAGCATTAATGTGTTCAGTAGTGATTTTCCTACAGTAATGTAGCCTACTCCATGCAGTTTCAAGTTATGGATGCTCAGACCTATACACATGGTACACGTAAATTTGAGTGATTTTAGAGTACAACTACGCACCTGAGAATTCATCGTTTTCATCAGTGGTGGTCTCCTTGGAACCATATACTCATGGATATCCAGGGTCAGATGTAGAAGCAAATACAGTAATTGCATATCTAGGATTATTGGGATGTGAGATTTTTCAGATAATTGATTTTTCTAGATAGTAGAAGCATATAGCTTTAATTACTAAGGTTTTAATAAAGATATCCTCCCTCTCTTTTTTTTTTCCAGTACTGAGATTTGAACTCAGGGCCTTTCACTTGCCAGGCAGGCATTCTGACACTTTAGTCCCACTCCCAGCAAAGACACCTTCTTTCTCAGTCCCTGTTTGTCATTGTGACATTGTAATACTGATGTTTTAGACCAGAGGCAGTGGTGCTTGCCTCTTGTTCTCATCATAAATTTTAACTTCTTACTCTTTATGACCTTAGAGGATGTTACCATTGAGCCTAGTACAGGAATGCATATGTAAAAAGAGGGGATTTTATGAATCACAGTCTTTTGTGAAATTAATTTTGACTAGAAATTCTTCCAGTCCTTATCTATTCCCTCTTCCCATCCTTCTGACTTTGGGTTGTTCAGAGTCAAGATTTCTGGATAGGTGAGTTTTAGGAACTTAGGCTTTATTTTATTTTTATATTGTAGATTTACGTAGTAGTGAATTGGGGACATTTACTATATGTTACAATAAAACAGGTCACCAAAATCTAGAAGAATTTCTAGTTTTTTGAAAAGCACGTGAACTCCATCCTTGTATTTTGTTTTTAACAGCTTGAATGACATCTTTGTTTATACCATCAAGAGGTATAAACCTTTTGAATTTGAATTTATTGTTATGTATTGAAACGTTAGTGTCATTTGCTGTGTTTAAACCATGGTTTAAACTGCTTTAGTATGGGTTTGAAATACTGAGTTATTAAACTGAAAGTCATATGGTATAGTATATAATTGAAAGTTATAGTACAACATATTTTAAAATTCAGGGCAGAAAGAGTGCCAGCCTAGTAATTACAAAGTCCTGAGTTCAAACCCAAGTACTGCCAATTTTTTTTTAATCCAAATTAGTTTTTCAACATTTGGGTGTCTTAAATTTAGTTTTTAAGTTTTAGTTTTAAATTTAAATATATTTGTATCTAATTGATTTATTACAGTATTATCTTTACTATTTGGAGAATACAAAGTTTTAGTATACTTTAGTTAAAAGGAAGAGAGACCTACATGTATGTGAATGAATTTTATATACAATCTCTGTGTATTTATTTTTATTTTGCCATGAAATAGGAAGAACTAATCATAAGTATAATCTATGTAGAGTCTATATTACTTTACTTTTAAAATTCAGGTTTGCTCTAAAGTCCTGTGAAATATTTATGAATTTTAAGAAGTCCACACTTTAAAAATTCCTCAAGAAATACAGCATCTTTAAGTGATCTCAAATTAGGTATAGGATCGAGGGGAGAAACCAAGTTCAAATTTATTCAGTCTCATAGGTAAAGTTTTAATGTTCAGGTCATTAAAACATGTGTTTCCTTTTACTTAAAAAATGTTTGTAAACTTGAGGAGAAAGTAGAGCAAATGTATAATTTGAATGCAATGAGATAATTAGGTTAGCACTACACGTTTAATCAGTGAAATCATCGTTCTAACTTAAAATAGCAACATCTGGTAAAACCATAGTAAAGCACTGAGTTATGATACACATAAGTACTCTTACCACCTAAGAAGTTTCATCCATTTTTTCTGTTAATAATCCATGTCCTTACTCATATTTTAACATAGAAATTTTACTCTACAAGGGGTGAATGTTAAATTTGTTAGCTCTTCTCATAATTAATTGTATTTATCCCCTGTTTTCTGTAGTCTAATAATGGTAGTTTTATTTATTTTTTGAGACAATGTCTTGTTTTGTAGCTTTGGCTAGCCTTGAATTTAAGGTCCTCCTGCTTCCAGAGTTACGGTGTAACAGGCATTCACCATGCTGGCTCTTTTTTTTTTTTTAATGCTTTTGTAGAGTGGAAGTAGTTTTTTAGTTGCATGACATTTGTTAGAACACAACTGTTTCAATTATTTGAGAAGTGAATTTTTTCATGTAAAGTATGAAAAAATATTTTGCATATCATATACATTGACTGTTAATTTTAGACTTATATTTACTGAGACAATCACCATTGATTGTACTCCTAACATTCACATTAGAGAGCATTCTTTGTGTGCATGTATTTAATTCCTTCACAGATTCTTTTGACTTTGCTGTAAAAGTGTGATTAGTATATCCATTTCTTTGAGAGAGCTCATAATCAAATGTTTTAGTAGAATTCATTCATTGAAAATTCTTTTTTTGCTGGGCGCTGGTGTCTCACATCTGTAATACTAGCTACTCAGGAGGCAGAGATCAGGATTGTGGTTGGAAAACAGTAAATAGTTTGAGAGACCCTGTCTTGAAAAACTCATCATACACACACACACACACAACCACACACACACACAAAGCTGGTGAACTGGCTCAAGGTGTAGGCCCTGAGTTCAAACCCCAGTACTACAGGAAAAAAAAAAAAAGAAAAAGAAAAAGAAAATTCTTCTCCTAAAGGCCACCTTCTCCTCCCCATGATAAACTGTCCACATTATTTAATTGGTCATTATTGATATTATGATGTGGTTTTATTTGACTCTGACTTTGTTAGAACTAGTTAGTGACTTAGATGAGTTATATGATTTCAATAAGATAAGGAAGTTGATGCATAGGTAATTTACTTATTTGTATGAAAAGTTACCTTTTATAAGCCAAATATTATATTTCAAAACACTTGGAAAACTTGTGTTTTACAATATAAGTTGTTTGACTTTCTTCTCTTTCATTTTTTTCTTTTCTTTTTTTAAAAATTTATTCTTTATTTTTTGTGGTGCTAGGGATCGCGCCTAGGGCCTTGTAAATGCTGGGCAAGTCTGAACTACACCCCTGCCCCTGAATTTACTTTCATGGCCATAGGGTCTCTTAAAACACATGGTCACATACAGGTTCAAAACTGAGGCCAAAAGTATAGAATGATTTAACAGAATTAGGTAGAGCTCAGATTGATATCCTTAGCTTTGTCAGACCGCATTACTGATAACTGATTTTTTTATTGTGATGCTAATTATTAGTGCATTTAGAGATTGAAGAATGTTAGAGATTCAGGTTTTTACTTTTAGTTCTGTCTCCATAGGAGATGGCAAGACCTTGGAGACTGGAGAAAGATAAGACCATAAGTATAAGATTGGGGTACAGACCCCAAATTTTTTAACTTGTGGTGTGGAGGAATGTTTTTTGGTTCTACTTGTGAATTTGTGATGGTTAATGAAAAGTTAAGCTTGGGGTTCTGTTAAATAAACTTATTAAGGAATTACTGTGTCATACTGTTTGTTTTGCCAATTATGATAAAAATAAAATTCTCTAATGCTTAATCAAATTATTCTAATATAATAGAATTTTTATTGTTATGTTCCTGGAATTACATGGGTTGGGGCTTAAGGATACTTTATTATATGTTGATATGGTACCAGCTGTGATTATGAGGATTGTATGTGTCCATAATTTTGACTAAGCTTCACTGTCCAGGTTTACCTGGGATTCATGACTTTCAGTTTTAAACCTGGGTTAGTCCTGGGCAAACTGGGACAAGTTGATCTTATAAATACAGTGGTGATGAAGGCTTAATTCAGAGAAAAAAATAATTAGGGTTTTGCTTCAAGTTTGCTTATGGAAAAAAGCTAACTTGTTTACTAATATCAGTATCTAAGAACTCCCAGGTTTAGGAGGATTTAAATTTGCTTGTGAAAATCCAGGTGTCAATGAATCTGGATGTTTAGGCTGCTTTATTTTAGCTGTTTGGATGCTACCCATTTGCTAGCACTATGGCAGGTGGCTCTATCTAAGTATTATAGTTTCCTCAGCAATATGAAGTAAAATACTGCACTCAAGGAAAACAGAGCTTATGGAACTTAAGGTATTTCTGAAGGCAGATTTGAGGTGTAGGAGTCCTGATTCTAATTTCTAGCAGTTTTTCAGTTCCCAATTAACATGTTGAGACCTAGGAAGGAAGGAAAGTCATTTCTGGAGGCCTTTTAGACATACAAACCACTGGTAATGGTTTATTATAACTTTTTCAGAGGGTAACTGGAAAATTATAATAAATATATGAGCTATCACTTTAGAAAAATGCAGATGTACGAATTTTTAAATATAATTTCAGTGGCATTATCGATCTAATAATGAGCTCTTGTATTATAAGCAGATATTATAGTCAGTTATCTACAATTATGTGGTTTATCTGGACTGTTTTCAAAGGCAGTACAGAAGAAAATTAGTTTGATTTAGTGCAGGGTTTTTTTTTTTTTTTCTTTTCTTTTTTGTGGTACTGGGGTTGGACTCTGGGCCTCACGCTTGCTAGGCAGGCACTCTTCCACTTGAGCTACTCTGCCAGCCCCAGTTTTTTTTTTAATGCTTCATTATTGTTAGTAAAGGCTTTTGGGTGTGGCTTTTCTTGCCTCATATTATGTTCCAATATTCTGTACCAGTGTATCATTGTATTGTTACACAATGGTAGAAAACATTATCTTACATGTAACTTCTAATTGACTTTATATTCTTCAGGTAAAAAGAACATATTCTCATGGTACTTACAGAGCTGGCCCAATGAGACAAATAAGCTTGGTGGGTGCCGTCGATGAAGAAGTGGGAGATTACTTCCCTGAGTTCCTTGACATGTTGGAAGAGTCACCATTTTTAAAAGTAAGAGAAAAGTCTTGGCAATCTAAATTGTGTGTGCTACTTTCATGCTGTAAGTGATACAAATAAATGGCTGTTACATAATTATAAACATTTAAATTGGAAGGAAGGAAAGAAGATGGGAAATATTAATCTTGTGTAGTGTGTACATGTGACTTCTTAGGTCTTAATTATAACAGCAAATCTATGTGGTGAACCAGAAAAATAACATTTATCTATTACTGCCACTTGAGGAAATTAGGTTCCAACTGTTTACCAGGTCTCCAGAGATTAAGTACCAAAGGATTTTAGAAGTATAGGAATGATGCTTACTAAATTAAAATGTTTAGGACAAAGGATTGATGGTTTAATATTGTGGAAAACTGGCCTCAAGAATTGTAATCTGTATTTTAGGCCCTTGCCTGTACCTAGCTGGGTTGGGCAAACCATTTAAACTTTTAGGTCTTCAGTTTCTTCATCTATTAAAAATATGACATTCAGGCCATGTAACCTACTGCCCATTAAATTCCTTAAAGAATTTCTAGTCAGATTCCCTTTTCTTTTAAAACAGCCTCTGCATTCCAGGAAATGTTTTGGTTATTTTTGGCAGTTCTGGAATTTGAACTCTGGACTTCTTTCCTGTGAAGCAGGTGCTCTATAGGTTGAGCCATGCCTCCAGCCATTTTTGCTCTCGTTATTTTGGAGATAGGATCTTGTTTTTTGCCTAGGTCAGCCTGGACCAAGAGCCTCCTATTTAAAGCTTCCTACCATTGCTAGGATGACAGTCATGTGCCACCATGCCCAGCTTTTTTTTTTCTTGTTGAGGTGAGTCTTGGTAAACTGTTTGCCTGGACTGGCCTTGAACCAAGGTCTTCCCAATTTTAATCTCCTGAGTAGCTAGGATTACAGATGTGAGCTACTGGTGCCCGACTCAGGAAATGTTTCTAATTGTGGGTTGCTTGGGCTATCCCACTGAGAGAGAACTCTCTGAGTTGGAGAGTTAGGTTAATTATTTAATTTGTAGGTCAAAAGTCAATTTGAGTCTATAGTGAAATGCAGGGTTCAAGTGCACAGCAGAATGCGAGATCAGTTTATCTCTAATCCCACATAATCTGTCATTCATCTTTTCTGTTTTTAGTTCTGTATGCTTAATTTTCTACCCCATATGTTTGTAATCTTAACCTTCCTTTTTCAGCCTATTCTATTTCTCTCTCTTTCCCTCTTTCATTCCTTTTAAACCTTTTGTTCCTTTTCTGTTTCTTCCAACTAGTCACATGAAGTTTGATTGCATTTAATACTGAATATTTTAGAAAATATTGCTGAATATTATTTAAATAGTTGCTTCAATTTAATTTTCTGAGCAGATAAATGAATTCTTTCTAGAGAGATTATTATTTATTTATCTTTATTTCAAAAGAAGATATGGGATTGACTTTGTTTTTAAAATACATTTCTCACATTCCATGGATACTGATCCCCAGTAATATTCTCCCCCTAACCCCCAAACTTTTCTTCTTTTCTTTTTTACAAATATTTTAGACTCTGGTTTAGACCAACATCCTCTTCAGGAAACTACTAAATAGAAATTTTAGTTTGGCTTGGTTTTCTTTTTTTGTTTTGTTAGTATTTAATTATCACTAATTGAAGAGGTTTCTATTTTTTTAAACTCAACTTTAATTCTTTGTTTTCATAGATTGTTATAGAAAGTCCTTGTGTATTTTGTTAGCTTATTATAATCAAATGACCCATATGTTTGGTAGAAGGAAGAATTACATGCTTAATAAGTGAGTCATACCTCTGGCCAGGTGTAGTAGTGAGCCATCCCAGAATGATTATTCTCTTGATAATATTTGAAATAGAATTTTTTTGAAGCTAAATGTATAAATATATAGGGAAATATTCAATGTAGTGTCTATTTCAAATTCAAAGCTGTATATGAATGTGTAAGGGAAGCAGTATTCTTTATTGTATACTTGAATATACATTTTGAAAATAATCAATTTCTGTATAATTATTTGTCTATAGTGTACACTGCCATGGGGGACACTGTCGAGTCTAAAATTAGAGAGTCGAAAAGATAGTGATGATGGTCCCATCATGTGGGTACGTCCAGGGGAACAAATGATCCCTGTGGCTGATATGCCAAAGTCACCCTTCAAAAGAAAAAGGTATGTTAGATTCAGATTTTTATTGCTGAGGTTGGCTGTCTGTATGTTTGTGTGTGTATTAGTTAAAAGTTGGAAGGAGGAAAGAAGAGTTTAGAACATAATTGGAATATAAATTCAAAAATAGCTATACATGCTGATACAACTTTCTATATATAAAACAGCCAGTGTAAGTAAGATATGAGAAATGGAGGCAGATGATCATAAGTTATAACTGGGAATAGAAAAAAAATCTCATACAGAGAAATTGTAAACATTCAGAATAATTTTAACAAGAAATACTGAGAACTTACATGAAGCCAAACTAAGAAACCTCTTGCAGTTGCTTTAAGTAGGGTAGGAGGAGGTTTGAGAGAGAGAGTATGGGGCAATATAAATAATGTACAATATAAGTTTAATTGGAATTGTCACTATGAATCTCTCCCATGTAATGAATAAATCTACTAAAAAATTAAAAAAAAATCGAGAACTGGTCAAGAAAATGAAAACTTGGTGTATTATTAAAATAATACAAAAACAAATGGAAAGCTCTACTATGTTCTGGATTGGATGAGAATTTTTTTGGATTTCAGTTGGACTCACTTCTAGCTGGGATAAATGTATTTTAAAGTTCAAAAGGAAGAAAACTGAAAGAGAAAAGTAAGGGCATGCTTGTTATTAGATACTGAAAATTGCTTTAAAAATTAAATGGATCATTGGAATAGGATCAAGTCCAGAAATAATGTGACCATATATTAATATGGGACAGGTGGAAGATTTACTTAATAAATAGTGCTGGCATAATTGGCAGTTTTACTGAAAGAAAACAAAGGCAAATCCCTATCATACCAGAAACAAGTTAGAGACTTAAACATAACAGACAAGCAATAAAAATATCAGCATAAGGGTTTCAAGCCTGGAAATGATCTTCCTAATAAGGAAGACAACAAAAAATAGTGGCAGTACTATTTGGGAGATCGCAGACATCATCAACGAAATTCAAACTGTGATAGACAGGACTAAAGCAGTGGTGCCATATGATACACAAAGAGAATTCCCAAACTGACAAGGAAAATGTAAAAGAACCATTGGAAAAATAAACTTTCAGTAGAGAAATTTATTAAAAAAAATAAACTAGATGTTTCTGCTATGATATTGCCAAAAAATATTAGTAAAGCAATAACGTTACAGGCTGGCAGGCATGTGATAAAAGTCTTTTAAATATGTTATTTACAGAAGGGTGATCATTTTGTAGAAGTAATCTGGCGATAGTTCATTTAATTTAACATCTAATTGATCTAGCACCCCTTCTCTTAGGAATCTATCCCAATAAGTAAAAGCACTGAGGGTTTATATATAAGGATATTAATTGCACTATTTTTTTGTAGCAAGAAAAAAAATTAAATCTGTCTGAATGTCTACCAGCAGGGGAATGATTGAATTTTTGTACATTTTTATTAAAGAATATAAGTAAAATAGTCTTTTGATTTGTAAAGATATTTGTGATACTTGAAAAGAGCAAAAAATCAAATAATTAATAACAGAAGTACTATTATTCCTTTGTCTTTTATTGACATAGGGTCTCATTATGTACCCCAGGCTGGCCTCAAACTTGTGATTGTCCTTCTTCAGCCTCCCAAGAATTGAGATTATAGATGTGTGGCACCAAGCCTGGCTTATGGCCCTTTTTTTTTTTTTAATGAACAGACAACAACAGAAACACCAACCCATGTTGTTTAAATGTCTATTTATGCGAGCACAGAGAAAGGTTTGAGAATAAGTATAGTAAGTTAGCGTTCTGGCCATGCAGGTGGTAATGCTAGGGAAGATAATAGCCTTTTCTTTAGAAAAAAACAGGTAAAAAAGTCACTGAGTAAATAGTAGGTTGCATGATGGCATAGACTAAATTGGGCTTGTTACTAATGTTTCTAACACCTAAACACAGTGTCTGTTGCTTAATAAATAATTATTAGATGAATGAAACTTTATAATGAATTTCTAAGTTGGTAGTAAATGGTAAAATTGATGTGCTTCTCAGAGGTTATTAACTTTTTTTAGGATTTATGGATCATTTGAAAATCTGAGTCTCTTGTCAGAACAATGCAGACATAAATGTTTAGATATCATTTAAGCAGGTTCACCAGCTTCCTGAGGAACTTCCATGCACCTCAGGGTTTACTACCCGTGGTATGTGTGATGATTTCACAACATCTTACAGTATGACCAACTAACAACAGTACCATACCAGGCACTATGCTAAGTGCCACATGTGTGAATAGGTTGTTAATGAGATCAAACTTATGGATTTGAAAGCCTGTTAGCTTTCTATAGGAAGTCACAATATTATCTAACTTGCGGATGCACGTAGAACATTAATGACAGAGCAAAAGCTGTAGGAGTGTGTGTGTATAATAAGAATATAATGCAGGGTGCACAAAGAGTGTTAAATAGGGGTTAAGCCTGGGAAACTGGAGAATTAGTCAGTGACACCTGGACAGATAAACTAGGATGAGAGAGAAAAATTATGGCGGCAATCTGGAGTTGTTGTTGAAAGTGACAGAAAACCATAGAGGAAGATAGATAATGGTCAAAGTTGTTTATATTTTGCCCATTCTACAGCAGAATGGGAGTGGTTTCTGCAATGAGCAGATTCTGTATGCTCATGGGTTCTAGAAGAGCAAAGGAGAGGGCCTTTGGGAGATGGTTGTCTTCCCAAGCTGGCTAAGGGTTTCCTGTCTACCTCCAATAAACTGTCGATGTTTTGTGAAAGTACTACTTTCTGGTTTTTTTCTTGCTAATTTATTTATATTTGTCTTCTCACTATAGTATAAACTGCCATAAAGTAGGAACCTCATCTATCATTACTGTCTCATTCATTAGCCTCAGTGTCTAGATAGCATCTGACACATAGTATGTGTCCTGTGAATAGTGAACTAATGCATTTAAAAATGTTAACCTGTTTGTTCTAGAAGTATGTCTTATGTTAGCCAAATAATATGAGTGGGGTCATGGCCCCATAAAGATTAGCTCCAAACCCCAGATAAAGATTGTACATATAGTAGTCCTAAACTCCCCATGGGAGATGGATTCTAAGACCTCTACATGGATTCCTGAAACCATTGATAACATAGAACCCTATATATGTTAATTTTTTTCTGTGCATATATTACCTGTGATAAAGCTTAATTTGTAAATTATTAGTAAGAGATTAACAATAATAATACATAATATGCTGCAATAAAAGATGTGAATGTGCTCTGCCTTTCTCTCAAAATATCTTACTGTGCTTTCACCTTTTCACTTAAAAGAAAGCACTTTGCAGCTTCTGTTTGGCATACCTCAATTGCCAGTAATACTATATTGTCTTAGGGCCATTGTTAAGTGAAATAAGGGTTACTTGAACAGAAGCACTAGGATATTGAGACATTCAGTTTGGTAATGGAGACAGCTACTGAGTGATTAATGAACAGATAGTTGAGTATGCTGGACAAAGGGATGATTTGCATCCCGGGCAGGACAGAGTGGAATCATACAAAATTTCATAGTGCTTCTCAGAATGGAAAGCAATTTAAAACTCATAAATTGTTTATTTCTGAAATTTCTCATTTAATATTTTCAAACCACAGTGAACTACAGGTAAATGAACAGGAGGAAAGTGAAACTATAGTTAAGAGGGGGACTACTATGTAGGGAAACCTACATCTTGTGTAATTTTGTTTCTAATTCAAGTAAAATTTTCCTTTCAGGTGCCATTCTTGTGAACAGTATATTAGAAAAAAGGGATTTGTATGTGTTCTTGTTTTGTTCATTTAAGGTGCTTTGAGATAGGTGGTTTAAAATTTCCTTTTGTCTGAATTTGTGATTATTGAATGTTTGATGGCAAGTAAGTCTTAATATTAATGTAAATCTTTTAAACATAGAACTACCAATGAAATAAAAAACCTTCAGTACCTACCTCGAACCAGTGAGCCTCGGGAGATGCTCTTTGAAGACAGGACAAGAGCTCATGCAGATCATATAGGACAAGGCTTTGAACGCCAGACTACAGCTGCTGTTGGAGTGCTGAAGGCTGTGCACTGTGGACAGTGGTACATATAACTATTGTTATTTTAATGAAAGGGTTTCTTGGCTTCTAAAATTTTTCTTTGAAAGTTTTTTAGTAATTTCTTTTACTTTGAAAAAAAGGTTAATTTTCCCTCCTATATTTGGATAGCCTAGTTGCACTAAAGAAGATTTTAAATTGTTAGAATCTAATTAGTTTTAGTTATTTGGGTTGAATGAAATAATTAATTTCATTTTCTAAGTGACTGGAGAGGAAAAATTATGGCAAAAGGAAAACAGGTTTACTTGGTCTTTATTATATGCTCATTTAAAATGTAGTCTCATTCAATTTTCTTAACTACTTTTTTGGCCCATACTTTATTATACAAGGAAACTGAGCTCAAGGTGGTCATACAACTTTTTTGCAGTCTTAGATTTAATAAGTGGTAGAGCTGAGACTGATTTCAGATGTGACTCCAGACCCAAGTACTTTCTATTTCTACTTTACTCCTCCCTTTCTAGGTTTTGTATCTGGTTATTTGTTTGCTTTTCTGTATACTTTTTTTCCATGATCCTTTTTTTGTCCTGAAATCAACTTTTCTGATGTTAATATAGCATCTCTAGTTTTCTTATGATTTGAGTTTGCATGTTTTTTTCTTTTTCTGTGAACCTATATTATTCCATGAAGATACTTTAAAGCCAGGTCTTGCTTTTTTTTTTTTTAAATTCAGTGACAATCTCTGTTTTTCAGTTGGATCGTTTACACATTTATATTTAATATAACAGTTAATTTGGATTTAAATTTATAATCTTTCTCACATTTGCATCTTCTAGTCTGCATTCCTTTTTTCTGTCATTTTTAGAATTTCATTTTATTTGTATTGTTTACTTATTAGTTATAACTTTTTATTTCATTGCTCTATATTTAAGTCTACCTTCAAATAGTATTGTATCTTTTTACGTAATGTGTAAGATCATTTCAATACTATTTATCCTTTCACTAGTATAGTATAGTATATAGTATATTCCCCCTTCATCCATTTCTGCCATGCTAATTGTTGTCACATATTTTACTTTATATGTGCTGTAAACCCCGCAGTATGTTACTACTTTTTCTTTAAGGAATTATTCTCTAAAGAGATTTCTAAATGAGAATAAAACATCTTTCATATTTACTGTTATGTGTGCTTCACATTCCTTTGTGTAAATCTACATTTTCATTCAAGATTCAGTTTCCTCAGGCTGAAGATTCCTTTAACATTCTTTCTTTGCTATGCTGGTCTTCTGGTGACAGGCTTTTTCAGCTCTCATTTTTTGTCTGATTTCTTTTTTTGAAAAAAAATTTTTTTTGAAACAGTGTATTGTTATATAGTTCACGCTGGCCTTGAACTTGAAATTCTCCTGTCTCTGCTTCCAAGTGCCAGATTACAGATATGTACCATCACACCTGGCTGAAAATGTTTTTTACTTCACATTTTTTAAGTATATTTTTGGTGAATATAAAATTCTAGATTGATTTTTTTTTTCCCCTTTCAGTACTACAAAGATAATTCATTGTCTTCTGGCTTATATTGTCTTTGATGAGAAGTCTGCAATCCAGTGACAGATCCTTTTTCCCTATACATAATGTCATTTAATGTATGATATCTAGATTTTTCTCTGTCACAGGTCTTTAGAAATATGGCTTGACTTTCCATACATATTTACGCTGCTTGGAATTTCATTTTGAAATTCATTTTGAGCATCTTCTGTAAAAATATTTTTATATTTCTAATTAAATTGAAAAATTGGGAATTTTTAACAATTATGCTTAAAAATACTAACGACTAGGTAACAATTAGTACTTTTCTTATGAATATCTCTACTGTTACTAAAATCATTAATATACACAATGTGCGTAATAATAAATATTAAGTTATCTAAGAGCAGTAGGCATCAATGAAATTTAATCTATGTCTTCTATGGCATACGTCACTCAAATTTCTATTCTAAAAAATTGATGACATAAAGAATGTATATTATTTTTGGGGTGCAATACCTGTATACAGTATTCAGGGTAGTTGCTATATCTCTCACCTCAAACATTTATCATTTTTATGTATTGGGAACATTCAAAGTTCTCGTTCCTGGCTCTTTTGTGATATATAATTAAATGCCAACCATAGTCACTCTACCATGCTATAGAACATTAGAAGCTCTTCCTCTTATTTAATTGCACTCCTGTACCATTAACCATCCTCTCCCTATTTCTTGTTCTCCAGCATTTCACTTTCGGTAACCACTACTCTCTGCTTTTTTTTTTTTTTTCTTTTGGGTGGTAGTACCAGGGTCTGAATTCAAGGCTTCACATTTGCTAGGCAGGTATTCTAACACTTGAGCTGTTTCACCAGTTCCCCTGCCCTCTTCCCCCGACTCTCTGGTTTTATATGATCAAATGTAGCTTCCACATATAAATGAGAACATGTGATGTATGTCTTTCTGTGCTTGCCTTATTTCACTTAACATGTCTTCAACTTTAGTTTTTATGTAATACTTGCAAATATAGCACCTAATTTTATGAAGTATTGATCTAAACTTTAAAATGAAACAATTAGTTCTTTTGGTTCACATAATTTACTGTTATAAATCATTTTCTTTCCTTTTATTTGGGATGGCTGGGAGTTGAACCTTGGGCCTTGCATTTGCTGATGCTCCACCACTTGGGCCATTCTACCAGCCCTTTTTGTGTTGGTTATTTTTGAGATATGGTCTCACTTTATGCCCAGGCCAGCCTGGACCTTGATCCTCCTATTTATGTTCCCCTGCATAGCTGGCATGACTGGCACTCACTTGGGGTTTTGCAAACATTTTTTTGCCTTTATTGGCCTTGAATTATGATCTTCCTGATTTCCACTCCCCAGGTAGCTAGAATTACGGGCTCAAGCCACTGTGCCCAGTCAATACAAATCATTTAAAGTTTTTAAAAAAAGTTATGACAAATGGCAATAAAATGTAATACATGCTTAGGTTGAAACTGATGGCATCAATCTTTTTAAAAAATACATAGTGGTTTTCCAATTACAATTTAACTAGATAGATAGCTAGATAGCTAGATATGAGAAGATTTTGATATTGGCCATAAACTATTTTTGTTTTGAATTTATTAAGGACTTAATAGATTGAAACATTAATGGCAGATCCTTCATTATCACATTTTTTTTAGGCCTGATCAACCCCGAATAACCAAAGATGTAATTTGTTTTCATGCTGAAGATTTCTTAGAAGTAGTTCAACGAATGCAATTAGATTTACATGAACCTCCACTGTCCCAGGTATATTTTAAATAACTATTGTCTTTAGTTTAGGTTTTGTTGTGGAAAAGACTTATTTGTATCCCTTGTTTCTTTTTTTAGTGTGTCCAGTGGGTTGATGATGCAAAACTTAATCAGCTGAGGAGAGAAGGCATTCGTTATGCCAGGATTCAGCTCTATGATAATGACATTTATTTTATTCCAAGGAATGTTGTGCATCAATTCAAGACAGTTTCAGCTGTATGCAGTTTAGCATGGCATGTTCGGCTCAAATTATATCACTCAGATGAGGACACATCTCAGAATATAGCTACTCATGAAATAGGCACCTCACCAGATCCCACATCATCGGTTCTTGGACCTCACACTGACAACATGATTTCTGCTGTAAGCAAAACTCCCTTGGATTCTGTCTTTTCAGACAAACTTCATTCTAAATATGATTTACAGCGTATTAAACATGAACCTATTGCATCTGTAAGAGTCAAGGAAGAACCTGTGAATGTTAATATTCCTGAAAAGACTGCAGCACCGAATATTATGGATGTAAAGAATATTAAAGCAAAGTTGGATCATGTTCAGTTTACAGAATTTAAGATTGACATGGAGTCTAAGTTTGAAAATAGCAACAAAGAATTAAAGGAAGAATTGTGCCCTGAAGTCTTATAAGTCTAGTTGACACAAGGCAACATAGTTCTGTATACTCAAATCAAGATAGAAAAAGATGATGACATTTTGTGTTAAATTTGTACATAGCATTTAAAATTCTTTTTTAAAAAGATTAATAATGTAATAAATATTCATGAAATCTGAAAGCAATCCCAGGACTTGCTTTCAAGTCTGTTAAGAAATATAGATTATGTAGCTTTGTAACATTCCTCAGTGCCTGTCCATAACTGTGAAGTATCAAGCACTTAGGGCCAGAAGCACTGTAAACATTGCAGGTTTAAACATAAAGGAGTCTTTAAAAAAATCATTTGAGTTGGAGTTGTAGGTTTTAGGATAGAGCTGACATTAGCATATATATATATATATATATAAATATATATTATATATTTTGTAATATGAGCCAGAATCCTTTTTTGACAATTTAAAGCTTTTCCATAGAGCTTATTTATACCAATTTTTTTTCATTTTAAATGTGTCAGCACTGTAGTGTAAATAGCTTTTTAAAAATCTTTTTAGTGTGATTTATACTGATATGTGAGCCACTTAATAAAGGCTCATGATAATGAATATTTTTTTTGTTGGGTCTGCAAAGACAAACTGACAACTCAGATAAATCATTTGTTTGATGTTTCCCTCTGCTGGTATACCCATTTTGAGTGGCAATGGAGTACAAATGTATGTATTCAAATCTAGTAAATATTTAAATTCCCCACATTGTACAAGTATTTTTAAAAAACAAACCAGGATTCACCTATGAAAGAATATATATGGGTGTGTATGTGCGGGAATGTATATATGTATATCATATTTTGCACAATTTCTTAAGTTGATGAGTAAGATGAGTATGTGAAACTTCTTAGCCTTACTTCCTGGAATACATTAAAAATATTTATATTCAAAATTAAGAAAGCAGTCCAGGTAAAAGGAACAGTTTTAGAAAGTTGGTAAAAACTGATATGTTAATGATACCTAATTCTTCTAACTAATGAAATCATGTGGCCAGATTATTTAGCTCTAACATAAATTTTCTTTGTTGTATGTGAAATAAGAACCTTAGAAAATTTCTTACTAGTAAGCATCTGTGCTGTGCTATAGCTGAGTAAAAAAGTCTTTAACTTTAGAAGGTTTTATTATGAACAATTAAAAATCCTTTTGCATTTTTCTTGCAAAATAGAAAAATATGACAAAAACTCCTAAGGGCAATAACAATGTCTCAACTGCCATATACATAGATAGAACCAACAAAATACTGTGTCACCTCCTCTTTCTCAGGATCCCCTCTACCTTAGCAAGGCAAACAACGTGATTCCTTTTTCTAAAGAAGCTCTAGAAAGTAAATTGTAATGGGAAGCAGGATTGCCAGTGCCTAATTAAAGATGTTGAAAGCACATCTCTTCCTTGATGGAATTCAGCATGATTTCAACTGCTTCCACTTCTGTAATTATAAGTCAAACAAAAGTCTTTGATGTATGCTTAGATGTAAGGAACTCTATTCACTGCAAATCTATTTTGTTTGTTATTTGTACTATTCTGTTTATACTTTGGTTGTTGACTTTCAGTTGGTGTTCTTTGTGGTGCCTTTTGGGAGACTGTTGCTATTTCCATTTCAGTGGTTTCTGTTGTGGACTCATATGTACTACCCATCAAAACTCATATTTCTAGTTAGGGAGAAATCATTCTTTGAAAGGCATTTCACCAGAACAAACAAAAATCAACTACAGCAAAGATATCAGTTCTGCCCCCCAGGTAGGTAAATGCTATAGGAAATCCTCATAGCTTATAGGAAATCAGTATGTACAACATTTCATGGGATAGGGAAGGTATAAATCATGACAATGTAAATAGGGTTTGATTTTTTTTTTTGTATGTCACTATCTTATCTTTCTCCTGACCTACTTAATCTTCTATTTTAAGATAAATTTAGAGATTTGCACCTACATTTTTGGAGACAAAAGTTCTTAACAAAGTAGAATTGAGAAATAGGAAGAACTGAGAATAGAATTGAGAAATAGGAATTGAGAAATGTGGTTAAAATGTGTGTGTGTGTGTGTCAGTTAAAGGTGATATATTTAAGCATGTTTGTTTTATTTCTAGTTTTCCAGTAGCATATACATAGGTGCACTGAGGTCATACTGTAAGAAAATGTGTTTAGGGTATCCTCCAAAATATATGAGCCTTAAACTTTTAAAGGCTTGTCTAAAACAATGATAGTTGTTGCTTCTAGGTATAGTTTCTTATGTAACCTGTAGTCAAACTTATCCAAAATTTGAAAATTTAACTGCTTTGTGAAAGGCATACTTCTCTATGGAGGTGTGAAGTATATATAAATTAATGGGCTCAAGATTTCAAGATATAGCCTTGTTATCACCTTGAATAATGCTTGTGTTCCTTATCTTACGGGTTATAATTTAAAGTCCTCTTCAGATGCAGTCTGAGAATTTGTTGATTACCTTTGTTATATACAAACTTCTATTTTAATATTGCATTATATTAGTGGTTTCCTAGTTAGTACATTCCAGTTCTTATCTGAATACAAGGTTTTGCCTTTATTTCCAAGTTCTTGGACCAGAACAATAAAGTACTTAAGAATAGTTCCAATGTGAAATAACTATGTAAATTTGGATTTACAGACCTTTACATAAAAATTAGGTATCTCAGTGCTGTCTGCTATAGCTTTTTCTTTTTCCTAATTTTGTTTGTATCCTTTTAGCTATCTAAGTAATAAATATTCCATACTCAGGTTAGTGCTCAAAAAATTAAAACATTTTGATATTTAGTTGTAAATTTACTAAAGCCATATTTTCATTATCTTCTTTGCCTCAAGACTGTTGACCTTAAGTCAAGATTACGTTGATCTAGCACAACACTCTGTGTATGTATGTGTGAATGTGTGTGTCTGTGTGTACATTTGTTGGAAATACTGTTTGTTTCCACAAATGGAAGGCATCATTGCTGATAGGAAAGATTTTCTTTCCTTAGGTTAAGCCTTTAAGGTATTTCATTAATGTTCCTGAGAGCAAAACGGTTTTTTCCAAATACTTACGGCAGGTAAGATTTTTGTAAATAATAAATTAGCACTGTTTTGGTAAATTTTCCTTCATTTATTTTTTTGAACAAGTTTATTGTCATGTAAAGCAAATCTCTCAAAATTCATTTTGCATTTAGCAAAAGTTCAAGATTTGTTTTTGGAGTTTGAGAGGTATTTCCCTTGTCTTCCACCTTTCAATAAATACTAAGATTGATAACCATGATCTTTTTACCTTTGTTTTGTAATTATTTTCTTGAATTGGATGTTTTAATCTCTTATTTTTCTTTCTTCAACAAACTGTAAGATCTTGAAAGTGATTCCAATCTGAAATTTTTTAAAAAACCAGTAAAAAGTTGGATTAAACCAATAGTGAAGAAGAATTTTGAGGGCTATTTAAGGTCTTTACCTCCCCTGGGAACCTTTGACATGACTGTTTCAGAAGGAAAGACATAGTGGTAGAAACCTCCTTTTCTTCCACCTAATTATAACTACTTTGATAGGTAAATAAAACTTTACTGGTTTTAGAATGCATTGCTTATTTCATGAAAGCTGTGTTTGATATGTTTGGCACTGACAGGATATTTCAGAAAATAAGAAAATTAAGGTGCCAACTCAAAGAGCTGTAAGTCCTTCTATCTTCTGTCCTGACTTTTAGTTCTTCCTGTAACTCATTGCATACTGCAGATGGAAATGATTTCAATTTAGAATGTCAAGCTTACAGGGCCTAAAAGCAGTCTTTTCTTGTAAGAGATGTATATGCTAGCTCTACTGGGAGAACAGGGAAAGGAGGAGAAAGTATTTCACATTTCCAGTTATCTTCCCTTCTGGCTTTTTCTGGACTTAAGACCCAACTGAAGAATTTGAATGAGCTGAGAAAAAAATAAGGGCATGTGGAATTTATATTAAAAGTGACATATTCTACATGTATGGTTGTTTTAAACTGTTATCTGCCTCCCAAGAACTGTATTGCCAAGATGTAAGAATTGTTTTTAAAATGTTAAACTATGTTTCCTATAAAGTTTCAGTACTGTTGCACTATTTAATACTACTAAAATGTACAACTCAGAAGCAAGTCAATATGATCCCAGAACTCTGTGTAAGACAATGTTGAAAATTTGGCCAGATTGATCACCTCCACACAGAATTTTCTTTTCTTGAAATTTTATTCATTTTAAATGAGCCAGATTTTTATGTGAAAAATCTCAAGTGTGTCACCTTAAAACAAAAAAACTTGAGTCTGGCTTTTGATAGTGGTTTTGTTCTATTTCATTAAATTCTTGGAACTCTCTGGCTTCACTTCTTCATCTTCCATTCATTATTTCACTATAACTTTTTTCAATCCTCACATTTAGTCACTCACCTGAAGTGGTTTTCTCAAAGATCAGCTTTTGACTACCAATTCTATCAGCAGCATTCTTAGTACTTCTGTTTAACTATTGAAGCACTTGTTATTAGTCACTTAGGCCTATAAATTCTTTATAATGTGTTCTTTTTCTGTTGGTTTTTAGTTTTCTCTGGAAGGCTTAGTTTGCCTTTTTACCATAATTTAAGGCAATGCTATGGTCTTTTCTTTAGGCCTCTATACTGTACCCCTGAAGTTATCTTCATGACCCCTGACTTTCAGGTAGCCTGGTTTTTCACTTCCTCTCTCCAGCACCCCGCCTTTCTCAATCACGGGATCACACTTAGTGCCTTGCACATACTAGGCAACTGCTCTACTGATGAGCCACATCCCCAGCTCTTCCCTTAAGTTTTAATGACTCACATGGTCAAACCTAAATTTTTCTCTTTTGTCTTGCCCTCAAAGTTAATTGCTCATATTTTCCCTACTTTGGTTATTAACATCACTAGCTACATAGTCAACTCATAGTAACCTGGTTTTTCTTTGTCCCTGTGTATATTTTATCATGAGATTTTGAGTTGACCCCAGAAATGTTTTAAATTCATCTCCTGTTGTTATATCAATCATATTGGGAGGTCATCTCTTTTGGACTTTTATTTTTTTGTGGTACTAGGGCTTGAACTCGGGGCCTTTACTTTAAGCCACTCCACCAGCCCAATTTTTTGTGATAGAGTTTTTTGAGATAAGGTCTCTTGAACTGTTTGCCCAGGCTGGCTTCGAACCACAGTCCTCCTGATCTCTGCCTCCTGAGTAGCTAGGATTACAGGTGTGAGCCACTGGCACCTGGTGTCACTTGGACTTTTAAAATAGCCTAAAATGTTCTAAACTGCTTTTAGTCCTCTGCCATTTACCTCACAGTTACAATTCATTTTTTTTGTTGCCACCATATTTAAGATAGATATGATTGCTACTATTCTGTTTAGAAGCTTTCCATGGTCCCTTTCCTAAAGAATAAAGGCCATATGCTTATTGTATCACTAGGGTCTTCATGATAGGATCCTTCCTTTCCAGCTGCATGTGCCACAATCTCTTGCATTTGATGTGCCCAATTTTCAGCTTTACAGAGGACAGTGTATAGTCCTCCCATAGTATCCATGGGGGATTGGTTTTGGGACCCACTTTGCATATCCAAATCTCCAGATGTGCAAATATTTTATACAAAATGGCAGAGTTTTATTGGCAAATATTTTATATAAAATTGCATATAACCTATGTATATCCTGTATATACCTCAGATCACCTTTAGATTACTTATAATACCTGACACTATGTAAGTGATTGCTGTACTGTATTATTTTGGGAACAGTGACATGAAGCAAGCCTGTACATGTTTAATACAGATCGACTGTTTTTCCCCAGTCTTTTCAATATGCAGTTGGTAGAATCTGGCTGAGCAGAGGGCCATTTTCTCCATGTACTTTATATAAAGTTCTTTGGGGAAATACCTGTAACACAACATAGTAAAATCTACTTCTCTTCAGAGCTCCACTTAAATACCATCTGTGTATTGCCTTTACTGATTTCATCTTACCTGTCCCCTCAGTAGCTGGAGAACCATTTCTGCTGCTTCTGCTGCTTTGCTCACACCACTTAACATACATACATACTTTTGGATAAAGCTTAAGGTAGTTATTAGCTATGCAAACCCCCTGGGCAGCTTGAAGAGAGGAGGTATTGTACAAGACAACCTGTAAAACTTAGCTATTTTTTCTTCAAATAGCTTTATTAAAAATTATTTCAAACTAAACTTAAAATGGCAAAGATCATGTAAACTATACCTTAATATCTTGAAGTCTGGTGAAGAATTTAATTATTTTGAAGTCTTAATTTGTGAGATACAGTCTGGTTATCAGGGAGTCATTCTGTTTAAGCTTGCATGGTTCTCTCTACTGATCTATAAACATTAAAATATCAGAAATTCTGAAGCATCATGACAACCTGCACTAGATTTTTTAGCCTGTATCCGGTCTGCTGCAAGAGTGGGACAAGGACACAAAAGTGACATGTTTTCACAAATTCTGTAAACGCATTTGTAGCACCACAAATTGTGATTTAATATAAGAGTATTAAAGGGGAGCAGGGGCTGGAGGAGTGGCTCAAGTGATAAGAGTGCCTGCCTGGCAAGCGTGAGGCCCTGAATTCAAACCCTAGTATGGCCAAAAAAAAAAAAAAAAAAAATTAAGGAAGAATACGCTTGTATAATCTTGAGAAAATCACTTCACTTAGTTGGTATTTCTTATCATAAATGGGAGGATGATACTTAGTGTGTTAATTGGTGATGAAAGTTAAATGACAGAACATGCTAACTGCTTACTTAACTCATTGCTTGGCTTATATACATGTCACTTCTGCTCCTAGAATTAAAACAGTCAATGCCCTGTATAGCTATCCTTATCTCAACCAGCAAAACCCCTTGTTCCTTCCTATTATTGCTTATACTCTCTCTACAACAAAATTAGAGATAAGGGCAAAATAGTTTCTGCTGGGTATTGAGGGGGGGGGAGCGGGAGGGGGTGGAGTGGGTGGTAAGGGAGGGGGTGGGGGCAGGGGGGAGAAATGAACCAAGCCTTGTATGCACATATGAATAATAAAAGAAAAATGAAAAAAAAAAATAGAAGGACTGTGTGCTGGGTCACACTAATCATTTCACAATTTCCTCAGTAATTATTTCCTCTAATTCTGCGCAGAAGATAGGCATATGGGAAGAAAAAGTAGGAGAGGATAGGGCAAGGTGTGGTGGAGATAAGTAGACATTAAAAAGAAAGCAAAACTTCCTTGTTCACTGTTTCGCTCAGGATTGGCAATTCAAGATCATGTCACAGACTGTCTAATCCCGATATAAGGGAATTACAAATTTGTGATTGTAATATACAGATGATAGTGGTAGGAATTTGCCTTATGGTATAATATAGTATGATTAACTTGAATACAGGGCAAGTGAATGAGAGTAAAACATTAAAGTGAAAGGTAGGTCCCTCATAAAAACTTTTAACCTGAGTTGTCTTTACTTAGCATTGGGTAATGAGCATCTTCTATCAATGCTTTTCATTCTTATCTATCCCCTAAACAGGAAACCTGTTTGTACAAATAGCATTTGGAGTCAAAACTTTGAATCAGAGACCCTGGGCTAATTTCATTACATTTACCTGGGCTTTAGTTTCTTCATCATTATGAGTAGGTGTTTTCTTCCCATACTTATAACATTGTCTAACTCCTGTTTTTTCTCAATGTTTGTGTCATATAAGTATAGGGACAACAAATACTTTGCATTGACTCTGCAAACATGACCAATCACCATTAAAGGGAACTCCTTTAGTAGTTTGTGGTTTCTCTCTCTCTCTCTCTCTCTCTCTCTAAGACATGGGATTGAACCCAGGGCAGGCACTCTATCACTTGAGCCATGCCCCTAGCCTTGTTTCTTAATAAAATGCTAAAAGGACTGATAACTTTCCTCTCAATAAAAAGTGGAAAGTTTTCTTGATTATTGAGATGCCTAGTGATATGCTCACCTCTGTATGAAAGTGATTCTATGGATTCCTCTCCTTTCATTATCACTTCTGTTCATTACTCACCATCAGTTCCACTTACTTGTTGCACTTTGAAAAAGCAAAGTGGAAAATAGCCCAAATGTATAAGATTAATAATTTTTAAAATTACAGTAAACTCTAACCCAAGGAAAGATCTCTACTTCTTGAAGCTTTGTTACATTTTTCTTGGTGCTTGAAAACATGGGTAATTCTGTTCATGTTTCATATAGCTAGCTGAGGGAAAGAAATGTTCAAAAGATCCACAACTTGGGCTGAATGTAGTGGCTCATGCCTATACTCCTAGCTACTCAAGAGGCAGAGATTAGGGAACATGGCAGTTTGAGGCCAGCACCAGAAAAAAAGTTTGCAAGACCCATTTCAATCAATAAAAGCTGGGCTTGGTGGTGCATGCCTGTCATCCCACTGCTAGAGAGGCATAAGTAGGATCGTGGTCCAGACCACCCTGGGCATACATGTGAGACCCTATCCCAAAAATAAGTGGAATAGCACCTGCCTAGTAAATGCAAGACTCTGAGTTCAAACCCCAGTACCATACACAAACACACACAAAATTTACAAGCTATTCAGTAACATTTCATGAATAAATTTGTTCACAAGTTGCTTTTACTCAGAATTTACAACAAATCACTTCCCTGAACCAGAGAAAAGTATCCATGCGAACCTGGAAAATAATGGTCTCAGTAAAAACCTTTGAAGTTTAAGCTTCTTTCTTGAGGCAAAGTATGTTAGTAAATGTTATCTCTACATTTAGTTATGAGAAGTATACTATAATGAAAAACAAACCTAGAAAGCTCGCTCTTTGCAATACTAATTGTTTATGTGTTATCCATAATCCAGTTGGGTTTTTTTCCTACCCATAAGTATAATTTTTACTGTCTTTAATTAATGTTCAAATGTACTCAACTACTGAGACACACATTAATGATAACTTAAGTGTTTATAAACATCCAAAGTCATTCTTCTTTGTTGTTAAACTGTTGGGGGAAGAGACCTGTTGTACCTTTCTTTTTAGCTATCTCATACAGAAATTTTGCATTTGCTGCTTTCTGTCCTAGCTCAGGGATCAGCATACTGCCTATAGGCCACATCTAGCCCCATACCAGTTTTTGTATCCCTTGTGATGTAAGACTAGTTTATCATTTTAAGTGGCTGAAAAAAATCAAAAGAATAGTATTTGTGATATGTGAATATTATGATTTAAATTTCATGTCCATAAGTAAAGTTTTATTGGAACATTGCCATGGTCTATGGCTGCTTTCTCTGCCAAAAGGACTGAGTTGAATATTGGAGCAGAATCCATATGCCCTTTCACAGAAAAATTTTGGCTGACGATTGTTGCACATGGTGCAACAATTCTCTCTTCTTTTCCCCATGAGAGCTTACATTTAGATAATACTTAAATGAATAGCTTTATCTGAACAAAATATCCTTCTGGCTGGTTTCTTACAGAGATGAACACTTTATTATGAATTTATTTAATGATATAGTACAGAGACCAAACAGTTCAGATATTCCTAATTCAATTGAGATCTAATCAGTCTTAGAATGTACAGTTCCAAATATTAAGTATCCTTCTCAATCCTTATTTTTAGATACCCAAAAATAATACTATATTAACAATTATAGGAAGACATTTGTAATTGATTTTTATTTATTTAGCATACATCTTTGTGGTGGTGTGGCTTAAACCTATGTTACCTATCTTTACAAGGAAGAACTAATTCAAAATGCAGTATTAATCTTCTGTATTAGCAGCCAGAAATTATGATTGTGTGCTAAGTTTTTTTTTTTAGACAGGGTCTTTGTTTGTAACCCAGGCTGGCCTTGAACTATTCCTCTTGCCTCCACCTCCTGAGTGCTGGGATTATAGGTGTGCACCATCATACCTGGCATGTGTCATACCTTTTTCAAAAAGAACAAAATGGCATTTAGATTTCTGACAGAGTTAAAAGTGTGGACAATAGGGCAAGAACAATCATCCTGCTTTACAGTTGGGAAATACTTCAGACTCTGGAATTTTATAAGTACTGCCACCCCTGCTTTATTGCAATGGTTTAAGAATGCTGTTGGGGTGATCATAGAATTTCTTAAGCCAGATAACTTTTAATCGTGAATGGGGCACTAACCCTCAGAGACCCCAGGACAACAGGAATAAATTGGTTCCCAACAGACTGGAATTAAGTTTTCTTCAGGAACAAGTATAGGCGTCTGCTTGTCTGCTGTAACAAGTCATCTCTAATTCATTTGTCCTAAACAGAAGGTAAAGGTAACTGAACCTAAAAGATAAAAATATGTTAAACTCTTGGGTTTTCTTTTTTCTTTGTGTGTGTGTGTTCTGGATTTGGGCTCTGTGCTTGTAAGGCAGGTGCTCTACCACTTGAGCCATGCCCCAGCTCTCTTGGGTTCTTTCTGAAAGTAAACATGAAGTGACATCCCTAATTCAATAACTGAGTTTTTTCCTTCCTACTTTAAAATAGGCATTTACTTTGGTCATAGAGTCAGATATATTAAACTTCTATCCAACTATGTGGATTGAAGGCTTTGTATTTGCTTTCTTTAAATATTGACCACATACTTACAACAGATAATTCAAGAGTCTTGGAAAAATGAGCTCAAAAACAAACTTTATTTACATAGGGACAGAAAGGGTATCAATAACTCAAATATTGAATAATTCAGCTTTGGGTTGACTAGAAGTTCGTAATTTACCAATCCTGTTTTTTGGAAGCAGTACAAACTACATTTGGTATTTTCCCTCAGTTCTCTGGTATTCTTGAGGCTTGCAAAGATTTTGAACAGCAACAGAAATGAGATGATGTACTTAGAAATCAGTCTCTCACCAAAAAGACGTTATATCCAAGTTCTGTTAAAGCCCCAGCCAGTAAGGCCCATAAAGGAATGAAGACATAGGACAGATTCATGGTAGTAAATTGTTCCAGTTTCGCACAGAGTGCGAGGCAGAAGGCTAACTTAAGTAACATTGCAATGAGGTACCAGGCTTTTTTTTTAATGTTGTGTGATCCATGTCGAGGGTCAAAGCCAGACTTACATCGCCCAGCCATTTTCACAATCAGCATGACCAGAAGGATAGTATCAAATATCCAGACTGGAATAAATATGAGGAACCAGTTCCAAGGTGCCTTCTCATCCAGTTTCAACACCAACATGATCAAGAAGAGTAATGTGAAAAGCCAGGTGAGTAGTACTCTCTGAGCCAAGGACATTCTCATTTAAACAGTTTAAAGAGGCTGTTGCAGGGTCGAAAAAAGGGAAAAATACCCTAAGAGAAGGAAAAAAAAGTCAAGATTTTTTGATAGCAAAAAAATTACTTCCACTCCTAGTGAACAAAGATGGCTCTTCCTACTCACAGACTTCCAAATTTTGAAAACATTTTTACTATTCTTCCTCTAAAAACCTCAAACTCATAGCAATTACTGACAACATATCCATCATTTTTTATAGCCCATGGCTAAAGTGCAATAAAATTTCTAGTATTTGCACCCAGTATAAGCTCTGTTCAAAATGTCTTAAGAATAGCCTGTTCCTTGTCAACCTCAGGCACTCGTGACTTTATTCTTGTACCTTAGGAATGTTCTTAACTTCCCTGTACACTTGCAAACCTTGAGTTTTTCATTCAATTTCAGGGGGTGCTAAGATAAAGCATTTGGAATGTAAGGGGTAAAAAGGAAGAGGTGGTACCAAGCCAAAAAAGGAGAGCTTTGTAAGGAGGGAAAGGTCAATAAAAATTTCAAGAACATGAACACTGTAAAAAGGTCATTGGGTTAAATAACAGAAAAGGTATGTATAACTGGTTTTTTATATAGTTTAATATTTGCGCATTATATTGTTATAAATTCTCAGGTATTTTCTTGCTAAAATAGACCACTTAAAATTTAGATATTTTATAATTGTTTGATGCTAAATTTTTCTATACTTTGGCTGTTTCTTCTATCACAGCATGTCTCATTTACCTAAATTTTTGTTTTGCACCATTTATTACTGCTGTAGGCTACATCCGAATATACGGAAGGCCTAGTATCTACTATTTTCTTTTCTAGAATATTTTCTATTTCCCTTTAATTTTATCAATGCTAAAAATCATTAAGCTTTCTTAAAAACATGGATTTTTAAAATTGAAAATGCATTAACTTTTAACTTAGCTTAGGTATAAACATAATATTTAATCTTCACACATAGATTTAAAATATGCTTTTCCACTATGTGACCATTTGGAATAAGGGTAAGTAGAATGAGAAATCAGAAGACAGACTGCATGAGTTCAGTGAGGAGTTAGCACAGATAAGAAAATGGAAACAGCTGAGAACATTTTATTCCCTTGGAGAAGAGAAAATGAAATATAAGACATGCAATTGAGAAAGGGACAAGAAATTTTTAGGAAAGGAGGAATTTAAGTATGGTACAGCTGGGGGAAATAAACCACTGGGAAATGAAATAAAGAGAATGCAGACTTAATTGGAAGACAAGGATCAGAAAGAAGGAGGTGAGGTATATAAAATAATGGGTGATAAGAGTAGTTACAAAGATGCAAAAAGAAACAAGATGAAGCTGAAGAAATTGGCTGGATGGACCAAATGTCTTAGTGTGCTTAGTTGTATTTTAGAACTACTTTGATATACTCAGCAATATCTCTAAATAGGGTGGCGATCATGGTACAAGAGCACATACACATCTGTTGTATTTCAATAGTATGGAGGGGAGTGTCCTCACCTCTTTCTCCTTAAACCAATATATTTGCACTTCCCTTATTTTCTAAGTTGGCAAATGCTTCATATTTGCAGTACTTTTGCTCCCAGGAAGGCATTTTCTGTACTAGTCTCCTTCCCTTGCCAGAGGATGCTATAGAATGGAATGTGAGACTAAATTTGGAAGGAGGGAGACCTATGAGCTTACTAAAAACTATACATGGATTTCACTCTGTAAAATAAGTTTGCGCAATCCCAATCTCCAATCTAGCCATTTCTGTGACCCTTTAGGAAAAGATTTACAATAGTACACTTGCTTAAACACACGTTTTCCATCTGCCAGGAGACAAGCTTCATTTTTTTTTCCCTCATAAAGGACTGAGTAACAACTGGTCATTGGAAGGGTGGCTGCACTCACCACAGGTACTTTAGGAATGAAGGTGAAAGAATGCAAAGGATATAATCATGTGGGTATGGGCTTTATAATGTGTGATGCAACAAAGTTCACTTGCAGAAAATACTCTCAATGGAAGAAGCAAAGGCTGAAGTACAACCGTGACATAGGACCTGAGTTTTACATCTTCATTAAGCAAATGTATTTGCTTCTCCTATCGCTTTCCCTTCTTCCTGAGAGAAGGATAGCTTTTAGTTCAAAAGTAAAATTTGCTCAACAAATATTTCTCACTTAAGGTGATTATTTCTGGTACCTGTAAGACAGTTAAGCATTTGCTCATATGCTTCCTTATTCACTGGAAACCATCAGTTGCCCCCATGTGTAAATCTAAATTAGGTCCCGACCCGTGTGTGTATCAGCTGACCGCAAACTCGCCCTGATGCTGCCCATGCAACCCCCTCTCTATTGTCAATCTCTTCCAAATGATTCGCCTCATCCCAGACAGTTTTGCAAAATGAGCCCACAAATTCCTGTACGTAATAAGTTGTTTTCGAAAGGCCCTTGTAGGGCTGGGATGTAGCTCAGTGGTACAGCACTTGCCAAGCATGCGCGAGGCCCTGGGTTCGATCCCAGCACCAAAAAAAAAAAAAAAAAGACGAAAGGCCCTTGTTGCAAGTCTTGGCCAACTTAACCATCCTTCAAAGGAACTGCGTTCTATTTACAGCTGTGCTTGTTCTCGGGCCTACTTGTCTCTGGACCTTCAGGACGCTCCTAAATTGTCCTGGACCTTGGTCTGCAAACACCGATTCCCCCCACCCCCACCCCATTCTGGGCCATGGGCCCAGCACATTTTGGAATTTCAGGCGGTTTGTGCAACATGGACACCGAAGCCCTGCTGCCAAGCAAGCGTCTGTGTGTTTGGGGCTGGGAGTGTGATGGGATCACAACTCACCGAGGCACGGTGGGACTTTTGACTCACCAGGCAGCGCGGCTGGCGGGAGAACAGAGAGGGTCACGAAGGTCAGGAAACTCGCCAGTTTGGATCCTTGTCCTTTTACACACTTTCCCCCCCATTAAATTCAGAACCCGTCACATGATAACTAAGAAAAGGACCCAGTTCCGCCTCACAAAAACGCCGCCGTAAAGGTTCTCCCAGTTCTACCTCAGGGCCACGCCCACATCCGGGGCTCGTTCTCCACGCCCCTGGGTCTAGCCTATAGGTAGAGAAGACACCAATCTGGTTTAAGAGGCCCCTTTCCCCACAATAATTGGACCATTTGGCCGTCAGTACAAATCAACCAACCTTTCCTTACTTTGGAGCTTGACGTCAAGGTGACTTGAAAAACCCACTGGGCCCGCCTCTTATTCTTACGGGTTAGGAGGAATGTCATTCTAAACTCAGCCTGGAGTCTTCGTGGTCCCATTGGGCAGGTTGGTGCCAATCAGATCAACGAGAGCTCGGCTCCTCCTCCGCGGTGCACCCCGCCCCTCCTCGGTTCTACCCCGCCTTTTAGGCTTCGGCGCAAAATCCTGCGGGGAGTGGGCGGGGCGACGCTCTGAGGTAGCGCGCCCGCCGGCATCCTCACAGTTAGCTCTTTTGGCTTCTGAAGTCCTGGTGCTAGCCTCCGTGTCTCCCGCGCGCACTCCAGCCGCCTCCGAGCGGTGCGGCGCTCGCTCCTACGGTAAGAGCAGCAGTACCTCCACGTTCGGGCGGGCCGTGTGGAGGTCGTCGGTTTCTGACAATCCCGCGGACGGATTTGGACTGAGAAGCGCGGGAGGCGGGATGGAGGTGGGGGCTCTGGGGCCAGACGGTTCGCTCACCGCTGCCTCCTCGGCAGCCGCCGGCAGTGCGGGCCGGGGTCACCCGTGGCTACCTCGCGTCATTTGGCGGGCGGTGGAGGCTCAGCTTCCCTCCCAAGCCCTCACGGTCCTCCAGGCTCGATGGTGACGGGCCGCCGCCCGCGCGGGTGCCTCGCTCGGCTCCCGCCCCTCGGCTCCCGCCCTTGGCTCCCCTCCTTGGTTTTCTTCTGCCGGCGCTGTAGGGGGTGGGGGTCGCCGTGTCCTGGGAAGGCGTGCAGGGGCGTCGGTGGCCGTGCCGGGTGGGCGGGAGAGGAGGTCGGCGAGCGGCGGGAGGCGCGGGTTCCGGGGGGGGGGTCGGCTCTGCACGCAGGCTCTGCCTTGCACCGGGGTCGCTGCCCCGCTGCACCCGCCGAGCCGGAGACACTGCGGTAGAATCCTGTGCACGCGCCCGAATCCTGTGCACGCGCCCGAAGGGGTTAATGGCACGAATGCAAACAATACTGTGGTCCAGCCGCATGCCTCACCTTTCTAAATTCTCCTCTACCGCATGTTGACAGCCGCGCTTTTGGTATTGTTCTTGGAGTCCGGGCGTTCAAACGCAGCACCTCCTGGTAGAACTTAAGGGATCATTCTGTTACCCACTTTATTTTTAGCCTGGCAAAACCAAGTAACTGCCTTATATTAACATCTACTAACCAGGGAAGTCGACTCTGGAACAGCTGATTAATCTCAGCATGCACTTCACAGGCCAAGTAATCCTGAAGTTCATGGGAACTGTATTAGCTGGGTGATTTTCTTTGTTAATGCTATAGGTTGCTTGCTTTGAGATTATGTGTGATACTTTGATTTTGTAGTTTTTAGTTTGCTTTCATCAAACATTTCTAAACGTTTCTTTCCTCTCTGAGACTTTGTCTATACACAAAGTATTTGATCTTGTTAGGTTTTTTTTTTTTGTGAAACTTGGGTTTTTTTTTTTAAATGAAACGGAGCCCCCCCCTTTTTTTTTTTACATTTTTAGTGTTGGAAGGGGGGAATTTTGAGAGGTTGGAGACCATGCACGTTAACCTAAAGAGCTATAAATTAGCAAAACTAAAGTCCTCACTTGGATTTGAAGTAAAAGCTGCTAACCGTAAGTTAACTGGCAGTTTTATTGGCTGTCTCCAGAATCCAGAGGAGAGGAATCTGGAAACCTAGGAAGAAAGAATGAGCGATGTCTGAGACCAGAAACAAGGTGGCTCCGGGAAAATATTTTTGCTCTAGAAATAGCCTGCTTCTTACACAGAGTAGTTGTATGCGTATATCAGATAATATTAACTTAGGTGTTAGGTGAGGAATGTCTGTGTTCTAATTTTAACCAGTTTATGTTAGAACATGTGGTGGCTCATGCCTGTAATCCCAACTACTTGGGAGGCTGAGATTGGGAGGATCTCTGTTTCTTGGTCAGCCTAGGTAAATAGTTCGCAAGACCTCCATTTCCAAAATAATCAGAGCAAATGTACAAGGGGTGTGGCTCAAGCAGTTGAATACCTGCTTTGCACGAATAAAGCCCTGAGTTCAAACCCCAGTCCTATGCCCCCTCCAAAAAAAGTGGTAAGCAAAATAAGAGTAGTATACAGTGGGGGTACTCTTGTGTAGTCAAGCCTCCAAGACTTTTTTGAGCCCATATTGGCTGGATAGTTGGCCCTAAAAAATAAAGAAGGTGGTCTGAGCAATTTTTAAACCACAAATCTTTTTGGCTGGTTCATTTAATGAGTAATTTTAAGGAATTTGTAGTGAAAAAGTCTTCACTAGATTGAGCCAAAGAGAATTTATGGTGTCATGTTGAAAAAAAGGATGAGAAAATAGTTGGACTATTTATATATTATCTCATTTAATTGTTACAGTCTCATGAGGTGATTACTACAATTATTGTCCTTCCTATTTTGTTGATGAGTTTGCCAAGATTTAGTTGACTCATTTGTTCAAGACTTCAATGCTAATTAGTCTGTAGATTTGCTTCTAACTAATCTGATTCCAGAGACTGCATTCCAAGCCATTATGTATTACCACTACAGTAAACCTGCCTTCTTAGAAACTTGGTAAGGAGACTAATCAGTAAAAATAATGCTGTGAAACGATAATCTGAATCCAAATTGTTAATTTAGTAATTCTTTGAGATCATTATATAATAGGCACTGTCGAGTGTTTCTGAGGATCTGGGGATGGAGTCACCGTCCTTGTCTTTGAGAATCATCCGTTTAGTGGGAGAGATAGATATTTGAATATACGTTGACAATACAATACAATTCAATACAATTTGTATTATAGGACAGTACGGTAGAACTTGTGGTTTCATGGAAAGATAATTTAAAGCAAAAATGAACTAGAGTTTGAATACCTGTTGGTCTTTGTGACTTTGAAGGTGATACCAACATTAATTAACTCATCTGTTAGTAGAGAAGATACTACTTTAGGGCCTTGTGCCTGCTAGGCAGGCACACTATCACTTGAACCAAATCTCCAGCCCTTTTATTTTGGTTATTTTTGAAATAGTTTTTCATGTTTATGCCTTGGTTGAACTGCACTGTAATCCTCCTATTTACACTTCCCATGTACTGGGATGACAGGTGCGCACTACTGTGCCCAGCTTTTTATTGATTGAGATAGGGTCTTTCAAAATTTTTGCCCAGGAGGGTCACAAACTGTGATCCTCCCCATCTCCACCTCTGAGTAGTTGGGATTACAGTCATGAGCCACCACTCCTGGCCAAAAGAGATATTTGGTATTGAATAAAATATATAAGGTATTGGCACATGGTAAGCACTGACTAAAGAAGAAAGAATAAACAATTTTAAGAGAAAGAGAATGGGTTAGGAGTTTCAGAGAGTTTCATAAATAGGGGAGAAAGGTATTCCTCACAGAACAGGAGAAAGAAGAGTATCATAACAGGAATATAGATTGTTGGGGAAATGGTAAGTCATTGTGGCTTTATGTAAAATAGTATTTTTGAAGGCCAACTTTGAATGGTAACTGCATATAAAATATGGTTGGGCAAAGTGAATACCATCCAATTTTAATGGTTGGAAGCTGTACCCTTAAATTCTAAACTTATAGAAAGTTTTCCAGTGTTACATTTTTATTTACTATTGACCTTTCAGTATTTACTTTCCAAGTGTTAGTTCATTCTCTTTCCAAACATGTCCAGCTAAATAAATGTGTCATTATTTTGTTGAGCTATCCTGTTCTAAGGTGTAAAATAAGATTAACAAAATACTAATGGGGCATTTGCACTTAATTAATTAATTTGTGGAATGTATTTGGGGATTATTTATAAAAGAACCTTAAAGTGACTCTTTTGTCATCCCTTCACTTCTTTACCTAGCCTGTAATCACATAGAGTCATCATTGCAAATTCTCCTTTGCATGTATGTTGACTATCTTTTCTTAACCAAGCTTGAGACATGATAGTGGGACAGAATGTTTTAAATTAGGACTGTACTTGAAAATCTGAGAACAAGTACCATGCTTATACCTTCCTATCAAGTTAGCATAGAACCATACATACATTGAATTTATGAATGACTAAGTTGGAAATATTAAATGATATTTAGGACAGCTGTATTTTTAGTCTAGCTTGTTAGCCTCATGCAAGTTGCTAAAATGACACAAAATACAGAGATGAGTTTTCAGATGAGAACAACTGATTGCTTCCTAGAATAGGTAGTTTCTCAGCAGTAGGAAAGAAAGAAGTATGCTGGACTTCATTCTGAGTAGCAAACAGGAACTGGAGCAGGAAATGACTGTGGCTGAAGAACTACCTGATGATAATCATAACATGATTAAATTTGACATTTAAAGAGAAGAAGTAAAGAAAAACATAACATGCAACTTTCCAGTTGTAGAAACAGTAGGGGAGAGGGACTGTTATGAAAATTTTGAAGGTAAGTAGTAAGCACTGATATAGGCTGCATGAACTACTTTAGTAAAAACATTGAGTATAGGATCTGTTACAAAAAATGTATGAAACTTTCATACATTTAGCACAAATTTCAGACAATGTAGCACAAGTTTCAGTGCTCTATAGACCTAGGTTCAAGTCCCAATTTTGCCACCCTCCAGTTAGGTGATTTTGGGTTCATTTTGTAGTATTTTTGGAGTTCAGTTTTATTCATAAAACAAATGTTTACTTTGCTAGCTTTTAAGAATTACATGAGATAATATATGTAAAGCCCTTTACGTTGTGCTAACCTTATAAGACTTGCTCCAAAAATGGTGGTTGTACTTATTTGACTATGTTGAACTTTCTCATTTTATTTTTTAAATAGAATTCCCAAACAGATAAGGGAAACCAGAAAATGGCAAACAA